TCTAGTATTTTGGCACTTGAGTATAAAGTTAAAATCGTAAATAATATTCAACGTTAAACTGGTGCACAATTAAAAACATTTTATTTAGGCCTATCTATGGCCTTCAAAAAGTTGATGACTCTACATGTTTCGACGTTACATCATTCACGTAGAATTGTCAACTTTTTGAAGGCCATAGATAGGCCTAAATAAAATGTTTTTAATTGTGCACCAGTTTAACGTTGAATATTATTTACGATTTTAACTTTATACACAAGTGCCAAAATACTATAATTATGACGTAAGTTATGTTTTAGTCCGCTCAAAATTTCATATTTTTAGACCAAAATGCAGCTTAATAAATTATAGTGGAATTCTCTGGTATCAATATAGTAATTTATGATTTTTTGTTTATTCGACTATATGTATAAAACCGAAAAAAATTATTTCATTTCATATCCTCCACATGCAAAATTTTAAAAGGCTTAGCAACCTATGTCAAGCACAAACTAAGTGCAAAGATCGTAACCAGAAGAGATAACTGTTTGCTTTACTTCTTTATTAACTGTTCTATGTTTTAAGAAAACTAAGTTTAAGAACTTGTTTCTAAATAGCAATAATCTATATGCAATATATAATGTATAATAATTGTAATGTGACTGTATTTTACAAAATACTAGTCTACCAAAGCACAGCCAAGACAGGTCACTTTGTAAAGACTAAAGGTCAGTTTTATATCATTGCATACAGTAACACAAGTGCACGTGTGCCACAGCATTGTACCTTCTGTATTGTTAGCCAGGCATGGCTGAAAAGTCAATATAATAAAAATAATAAATGTATGTAAATGTATAATGTTATGAAATTTAAGCTATTTAGTCAAAACCTTTATGTTTTCATGTTATAATTTGTTGTTATTCTAGAATGAAAGAGGCATAACTTGTATCTATTTTTTATGGTGATTACGAGATTGGTCAAATCTGCCGAACACTTACAGAAATTCATTACTGAAAATAACAGGTAAAATAAAAAGTTTTGTCTTAAGAAAAGTTTGATAATATACGGATATTATAAAGATTTCACATGTGAAATTTGAAAATTTTCTTATGAATAAAAGTATCTTAAAGCTTAAAATCAAAATTACTTTGCATGTTAGATAGTCAACATTCAAAAAGAAAAATGGCATGAGAAAAACATTACTTAAGAAATCTTAAAAATTAATAAAAAAAAAATATATTTTCAGTATGAAAGCATTGTAAAGTTTACTGACAACCTGCCAAATTTCATTAACATATTGTTATAGTTTTCATGCTATAACTTTTAAATTAGTAAGCGGCACAAAATGGTTATGAGGTTGGTCCCAGGGACCAAGCCCGTGCTGAAAGAGTTAAGCTTTTCTTAACAGGCCCCTCACGAGCCAGTGGGTGACATTTTTGATTTAAAAAAATCAAAAGTACCCAATCTGGTTTTTCTTAATTCGAACTGAAATTTTTTTGGACATTTTTATTGGCTAAAAGGAAGGCATTTCCTGCACCCTTTTAGAGTTGGTGCTGCAAAAAGTAATTTGAAATGGTAAGGTGACTGAAATCCATCAGCACATAATGAGCTATGACACGCAGAGGTATTCAAGAACCATTTAGAACCACCTTTGTAGACACTTTGCAGCAAGCTAAGTACAATATTATGCCTGTAGCTGCTTTCAAAGTGTTCCTGTCTGCTCATCCAACTGCTGATTGTCGTGATGCTTTGATCTCCCCTACTGAATCGCAGGTGAAATTGTTTGAATCTCAATTGAAAGCTAAACATAAAAAGGTGATAGCAGAAGCATAAAAGGTGGGCAATGATGCTAAGAATGTGGCTTTATTGATATATACTGAATTTACTTCCAGTGGGTAGACCTTACTACTAGCTAGTATGGAGACTTGAAAACGCTGTATTTCACTTCAAAATTTATTAATTAACAAAGAAAACTTGTTTTGAAAAGACACGTCCAAAACCACCCTCTTTGGGAGTTTCCAGATTGAACTTACTTTTAATATTCAACAAATTATAGTGTAAAGACACCCCTTGGGTCTTGAAGGATGTGTTAAATAAAATATTAAACATGTGTCTGCTGCACATTTTACCATGTTTTTTGTATTCTTTTTAAATTTTTCGTTGTATCAAAAACGTATTGTTTAATAGCTAATGTTGTGTTTTGTACTTAGAATATTGTGAAACTAACATTTTGAGGTTTTATGCTAATGATGGAATTTGAATCTATTCTAAAATATTTGTAATTAAAGATATTTCTTGGTTTTACTGTGTTTGTAATATTTATTACAAAAACTTGTCTTTCACCCAATGAATCAGTTATAATCACATGACAATATAAAAGTTCAAAATAAGCAATAAGACCAATAAAAACCAACAACTCACCTTGTCATTTCTTTCACACAGAAATTTTAGTTTCTGAGACTTTTTGTGCATGAAAACCCCATCAAGCAGTCCCGTTTCTACATTTCGAATTTCAATAGCTTTGTTACCCCACCCCATCACTTGTCCTGTTCCAATGTAAGCTGCAGAAAAATTTATGAAAAACAAATTATTGTTACATTCTGAATTATACAAACAAGGGATTTTTTTTAGTGAATATATATGTATATATGGGAAGAAAAATGGTGTGTCAAGTAAAATGTTAACTTTTTTTTTAAATCTTTGAAAGTGCAATATATTTATCAATATTAGACTTTTTATACATCATCATTCTATAGAAAAGAAACATTTTAGATGAATGAACTACTATTTTAAACATTTATCTGTGATGAAAGTCACTTAGCAGCAACATTTGTAAACTTTATCTTTTCCTTATGACATTTTCCTATGCTGTAGCTGAAGCTATCTGCTATAACAAAAGTACTGAATAAATTATGAACATTTTGATCAAAAAAATATATATGTATTTAGTTTTACTACGTTTCTACAAGTAGAAGTTATACGCAAAGTAATGTGAGAATTGTTTTAGACCCTGAAAACAAATTGAAAACTTTATCTATACCAAGGACAGTATTCAATTACTCAAATATTGCCATGTCATATATCTATATACATATTCACATTCTCACTGTAAGAGAGGTTATATTGGTTCAACTATTTGAACACTTGAAAAGAATGAATGATGTGCTTTCATTTGTACAAGAGTATGAAATGGAACTGTGGTTATTCTGTTCACATCAACCAGTCTTAAATCATTGGTTCAGCAGATTGTGAAAGGATGCTTAGGATTAAAGACACTTCATCAAGGCTTTAAAACCAAAATTTAATTTAAACCAAACTTCAGTACCATTATGACTAAAATGTGAGTAAAATATGATTCTATTGAAGCTGAATTGACTTATTAGATTAATAAAACCAAAGTTCCAAAGTTTAACTTGAAACCACTTTTTTTTTAGGAATATTCATGTTAATACAACATCTTTAATAAGACATTAAGTTATGACTAAGTTAAATTTGTTTTTCTAGCAAGCTAATATTAAGTTAATATGGGAAACTATAAAGCTACTGTCAATGTTCAAAACATTTCTGATGTTTTATTAATTTTGTTGTGTGCTCACATATACTTTTTAAAGATGACTGAATAAGAACTAATGGTCTAATATTAATGAATTATTTGATCTAAGTACCAGTTCAATTAACCACATTAAATATTTACATGAAACACACTTCTTTCTTAATGATTTTGTCCATGAATGCTGTTTTCATCATTATATTTGCATGACCTACATTAATGTAAATTAATAAACTTATTATTGAATAAACTGTTTTGTTATCATATTTATCCATGACAAAAAGTCTTTGCACCAAATGTTAGATTCTTCATCTTCCTTAAATTTTGGATTTAAACATTTTTTCCAGTTTAAATTCTCTTATAATATATATAGTGTTTTTCTTAATTTTCTTTACCTACATGTTTCTATTACAACAACTTTGGTTGATGATTTGTTTTTTGGGTATTTCATGGTATATTTATTGAGCTAAAATTCAATTCAATTATCAATTATAAACTTACTTTCTTGATACAGGTATATATATATATATATATATATATATATCTGTCATATTTTGAGATGTACTTGGCTAGTAGATAAGTGTTAAGTTAAAAAAAATAGAAGGTTTTCTAAAGAAATATCTTCACAGCTTGAATAAGTCAAAACTGACTATATGGATGAAATGGAAACTAGACATAGTTGTTTCAATTTGAAACAAGCATACTTTATTGAAAGACAAACACAGAAAAATGACATGATTTTAGTATAATTCAGACAAATCTGGATTACAATTTATTCTCAAGAATGGCCTCTGTGTGTTTTGAACAGCAACCTTTATTACATAAAGCCATAAGATTCCTGCTTTAAATTAAGCCATAGGAGATTCTGATCTTCAGTTTTAGTTTTGCTATAACATTCAAGCTCTGTCAATGTGTTCCTTGTAACACACAAAGGAATTAATTACTTAGTGTGCTGGCCACATATAGAAGCATACATGCCTGAATGAGCCCCAACCGTGTTGACAGTCTCATGGTAGTATTGGTGTCACTTAAAGTTGGATTCATATATGTACTTACCAACTGATGTTGGCATCTCTCCCCACTGAAGAACTATATTTTTACTGACTCTTCCATATGTATTGACATAAACACCCTCATCTGGAACCAACAAAATAAAGGTTTACATTACTCTTAAAATATGGTTTTATAAAGTTAACCAACTTATAATAATACTATATATTATCAGAAAAGCCTATTTATGTTTGGTTTGCCAGTCAAACTTTCAACTCGGTTGATGATCATACATCTAATTCATAACCAGGTTAGAAAAAAATTTAGTTATTTTTCAAATCTAAGGCTACAGCTTATCATTAATTGTTATTTATGCACTGAACAAGTACCGATGCTGAGAATTTAAAGAACACATAATTTTAAGGTTCATGCTGTTATTCCTTGTACAAAAGAATTACTGTTTCAAAATACTTCACAAACAAAAGATTCAGCACTGGACTAATTAAGGAAGACTGTAGTGCTAACACTCTTGATGGCTATTTAAATGATCTTTAACTTAAATGCGATAGGTAAATGAAGTGTTTATCCAAAGTATGTTCAACAGTTTAAATTAACTGTAATGAAAATGACAGTTTCTCTTCGTTTCCTAAGTTCTATTTCTGGGGATTTTTACAAGTAAGTTTACTGCCCACATGGAATGTATATATATATATATATATATATATAAAATGCTCTTTTCAACTGATGCATTTTTTGGACAAAAAGGGGAAAAAAAGGTGACGTACAAAAATCTTTGAATTATAATTTGTTTGTTTTTTTAACTTTCAAAATATCTATTATTATTTTTGCTTCTTGTAAAATTCTGCCTCACAAAAAACCTTGCTAAGAAGTTAAAGATCAACTTGTTACCATGAAATTACATTATGTAGCAGATAATAATAGTTATCATGGGTTTGAGGTACATGGTGATCACTATTTACCTTATGTGATAATATGGTAATCATTATTTTTTAACAGTTACTTCAGTTAACTGTCAACTTTTCAGCTATTCTCAGAATTAGCTCAACTGTTTTAAGATTAGGACTAAATTAGGTGAATGTTCTTACAAACTTACTATCATAGCACAATAGAAGCTGCATCCCTTTGGAGTTGGGCATAGTAACAATGATGTGGGGAGTGATTGGACCTTGACTCTGTAACAATTTCAGTACCATGTTATTCTAAGTACTAAATATTACAATGTGGTAACTCTCATCTTTTAGTTTCACTGTATTTTATACATTTCAAAACCTTAGATGCAAATTTAATCCAATAATTACAAAACTTTTATGTAATGATTTATACTTCAATATCAGAAAAAACAAAAACTACATTTAAATATATGGAAAAGTTTAAATCCAAGATAGCTTTATAGTTTGTTTGATTAAGCTGTGGTGTCAATTTGTTGATAAGTACGTGTTCTCTCATATAAGACAATAATTATCACTGAACAAAAGTAAAACATAAAAGCTAAGGAAAAGGTTAAATTTCATCTTATAAATTATATGAAAATAAATTAACAATGTTGAAAAACCCCTTTCTTCTACTGTTTTCCCAAGTGTTTATTTCACAATATACTAAGTGGACAAACAGAAAAAAAAATGCAGAATTGGAATAGTACTAATGCAACTGGAAAAGGGTAAATGTCAAAGTTATTTTACAAAACCGTGTCTTGCATGACTTCTGCATAACCTTAATTTTGGCATTAGGTACACACACTATAATACTTCTCTTTATTCCTAGTTTGCAAAATAATAAATCCTCAAAAACTTGACATTGCAAAACAAAATTAATAGTAAATTATCTAGCTAAATCTAACTTACATGAGCTAGGGTATAGATGTCGTATACAGAGCCCGAATCAACATCTACAGCATGAAATCCTTCAGCCGACCCATAAATCACTTTCAGTCGAACACCTTCTTCAATTGTCATATCCACCAGAAGTGGCATGTGTACCAGTTCTGGGAAGGATTTGAAGGCCATAAACTTGTGGTAGGGTTTTGGTGCCCATGCATAGATTTCTAAACTATCTTGTAGAGCTACGACAAGGAACTTAATCCTTTCATACTTAACTGAAACAAATGGATTCCATCATTTAAGTAAATTATGGAGTGAAATAAACACTACAAATATAATGATACGATATTGGAAAAATATTAATTTGTAGAGTAATTTTATTTTTGTTACATTTTTGTTAATTTGCTCATTCATAATATGAAAGATTCTAAAATGTGATAAATAAATCTATCTTATAAAGGTCCAAATTAACTAATAATGGATTCCAGAACTTCCTTGGGAGTCCGTTGTTCCTTGTAATTCACGTTACTAACTTAGAGGTCTTTGTTAGATCTCAAAAACATCTACTTGAAGGTACAAAGCATGGTATCACATAAAAAAGTAAACATTTCACAAATATTAACTTGTGTGATCCAGGACAGTAAATGTTTGCTATTCCCTTAGTTAATATGTAAATGTTTTGGTACTTCTGTTTTGATTTCAGTTCAGTTTGGACATAGAAAGTCAATCAAATAAACAACTTCACCTTGCTTTAGCTGCACGCAGGATTATATTCACTGATCAGTCATTAAACATGTTTTCTTTCATAAAAGATAGCCAAAACTTCACTTATGATGTACCAAAATAGATAACTATCTTTTCTGTTGACAAATCATTTAATGGCTTCACCACCCCTGAGTTTGAGATTGAATGGATTAAAGTCATGTGTGTGAAACATGTTGTGAGCAGCCTGGCTTTATTTGTGTTATTATACTTTGGTATTTTGAAGGCAAAGCTCTCCACTAGAGACAAAGTCTCTATACTTGGGATGGGTAGGTGCATGACTGAATTTTGCCAAGAAAATAGGCATTGACAGGATGTGGACAGTAGTCTGAACATGTTGTTTCTCTTTTTGCTTTATTTACATAGTATATTCAAATGATCCAATTAGGAATTTTACCAACTTTTACCACACATTTGTTGAATTTTTCTTGGCATTTTCATTATTTGCCTAATAATTCATCATAAATATTTTTTTCCATTGAAAATAATACAAATAAAACTAAGAGAGAAGAAAAATTAAGTTTCTTCTGGTTGTTTGAACATAAAAAAATCGCTGCTGTCTTGGATCTTGAAATGGTGATTCAGGCAGGTGTTTAGGAAGTTCATCTTGAAGCCCATCCCTTGTTCCCTTTGCTAAAAATTTTTGATAAACATTGTGTACTTTGTCTGTTATAGCTATTCTTCACTTACTTATGGTTATTGTTTGTGCTGAACTATCTAAGTTTCTGGCCAAGTTTACAGTGAAAATAGCAATCCACCTTAATTAAAATAGGTCAACCATGACAACTGGTTTGGAAGTTGTATCAATATGCATTTCCTTCTTTATGCTGGTTTTGGACTCCATAGAACCGAATGTAAATGATATGAAAATCACAACTGAAACATTTGTACTACTAAACCTGATAACAAAAATTTACTGCCAACAAGTCACAGACACCTACTGTAAAAAATCCAGCCCACACATACATAAAAACCTGACAATTGTATTCTTGGTTTTATGATAGTTCATCACCTTCAGTTAAAGACATTTTGGAGCCTGTTTTTCTGCAAGTATTTCAGATTTTCATTGAAATTCAAAGTTTGTCTTAACAGTTTTTTCTTCTTTAAAGATATTTTTTGTGCCATCTATCACATATTTCAATCATGGACAGGACAAGATACAGTCCATACCACTCATCAAATTTAAAACAATAACTTAAAGATTCTTACATCACTTCCTAAATGAATGTGGGAAAATTAGGCAATGAAAATTTTAGTTTCTGTAATGTTGATGACTCAAGAACACTATGTATCAAAGGAAATTTCTTCATTATAAATTTGAAGCCAAGTCTGAACACAAATCAATCTTCTTTTCAACTCTTCTTCAAAATGTAAGTTCATTTGTACATAATTTAAGACTAGTGCTTTAAAAGCATTTAATGGCCTATGAATTATCTTAGATTTAGTTTAGAACTCACTTATTCTGAAATGTACAGCTCCTTGCAGTTCTCCTACATTAGTCCAACCACTCCTCTTTTCCAGCTGCTGTCAAGAAAACAGTTAAGCTACTGAGAATAATGACTAATGTACTCTAAGTTGTTGCAAACATAAATCTCCAAATAAATTATTAACAAATGTCTGAACTCTTAACTTTTGTTTCTGCATAAAATATTAAAATTCTACATCTAAAAATAAAATTTATAAACAATGCCCCAACTTAATATGTTATCCTTTTTAATCTAAGTCAAAATATAATTGACTCTGTATTACTTATTTAAAAAACTTTGAAAGGTGACTTTATATTTCATCAAGATTTCTTGTACACATCAGTATCCAGTGAAGTACAGTTTGGACTCTA